CCACTCTTTCTCCACATTCACAAAAAAAACAAAAGTATTTTACACTGCCCACTGACCGCAGGGTTGGGCATTGCTCAGACACTCATTAGGAAAAATAAACCCATTGAAACAGAGGAGTCCTGGTACATGGCCTTGTCCTCAGACTCTCGTCCAGAGTATCAAAGCGACCAGCATAATAATAATACTTGCATTTGATGTAGCACTTTATCACTTCATTGAGACGCCTCAAAGCGCTTCACGGGATATCGTGTACAGTGAATTGAGTGTATTTTGTGGGCAAAATAAGGCAAACCCGACTGAGCCAAACAAAATGCGTCTCACAGATAAAGACGAGGCAAATTTGGGATCATGTTTTAACCTGCAGCTCTATTCCAGGAAGCAGTGTGTGGGATCACCACCCTCACGAACCGCGCAAACCATGCAAATGGTTCCCTTTTACCCAAATTGACAGTAGCCTTTGGCTCAGGTGACTACCAAAGCAGCAATGACTCATCACGCTCTGCCTGTCCCACTCAGAGTCGCGCGTCAGTCAGCCCGGCTCAGTGATAGCGCTCTCGCTTCGCAGTCGGGCGGTTGTGGGTTCAAGCCCCCATGTTGGGGCTTGGAATCACATAGTCTAAGCTGACACTCCAACACAGTGCTCGGGGGCCATTGCCGCCGTCGTTTGGATAAGACATTAAACTGAGGTCCTGTTCGCCTGTTCTGGTGGCCGTTAAAAGATCCCATTTTAAAACCACGTGAAAATTTGATACACCTATAATGTCGAAACGTCAAAAAGAGCTTCGTAATTACCAGCAGGGAGTGACTATTTGTGGGTAATCAACTTGGGACACAGCAAACGTCTCCCCAAACCAATCTTATTTGTGGGGGGATTGTTGGTTCAGGATACCAGGGGAGAGAAACGCCCTACTCTTTGCAAATAGTGCCATGGGATCTTTAACACCCACCTGATCAGACTGATGCGAGAGCGCTACCAACTGAGCCAGTCTGATACTACTTCTATCCAGGGATGAGAGGTAATAAGTTATGTGGGGGAGACATGAAACGTTGGCACTGTTTCACTGGAACAGAAAAGGTTAACGAACGATGCAATAAAAGGTTTGAAAATTGTTCTGATCGTGTCTGTGCTGATGCCAGTTCCCCAACTGGGGCTCTCTGCTCTAATCCCATTCCCTGCGCTCTCCACCTCCTCAAATCGTGAGCAAGTAGTAAACTTATGGAACAGGCGCCCTGGGGAGACAAGACAATAGAAGCAGAAAATATTGTTTGTTTCAAGAACAAATTAGATAGATTTCTGTTAGACAATAATTAATATCTCGGGATGTATAGTTTGGGACATGACATGTCAAGCGACTGCCAGGATGGTGGAAGGAGAACGAGGTGGACCTTGGTCTGCTCTCGCCCAGCAAATTCTTATGTTCTTATCCTCTTCCCCGAACCCCCAAATCCCTGAGACACTCAACTCAACAATATTTTATAAAAGGTTTGTCCATTTCTGCTTAACTTGGGGAGTTCCCCACAACATCCTTTAACTAGTTAATGTTTCCTTAACCTGATTTTTTTTGTAGGAATAAGACTACTTCTTTACATCTAACCCAAATTAATCTGCGAGGCCAATAGCCAATGACTTTATTATAATAATAATGATAACAATAATAATCTTTGCATTTGATACAGCACCTTTTCACGTCTGTAAAGTGTAGTGACTGTATACCTTGTAGGCAAAACGCAGCAGCCAATTGCACACAGCGGTGTCCCACAAACAGTTGTGGATTGAGTGACTTTTTTTTATGGATTATTACCCCCGGAAAAGCAATCCGCCAATTGACTTATTGCTAGGAAAACATAGGCGTTGGAGTAACTTGCTTAACATTTCACTCTGACCGGGAATCAAACCCAGGTCCTCTCATTTGCAAGGCGAGCGCGCTAACCAATACACTGCAGAACTTTATAAGATTTCTCAGAACTTAGCCTCTTTCACCTCCACCTCTCCGCTAAACTTAAATCAAAATGAAAAACAAATAGAAAACACACACGCAGATATTCACGGCTTGTTATTGGGAGTGTTCGGTCGCGTGAAAAAAGTAATGGTTACCCGATGTGCTTCACAAAGACCCCCCACCACACACACACACACACACCACTCTTCCTCTCCATTCAGGTCCATTTCTGGAATTTCTGGAATTGCTGTGCGCAATTTGCTGCCGCGTTTCGCCCACAAAAATACACATTCAAACCACTTTACAGTGTAATATTGAGACGCAATAAAGCGCTATATCAAATGCGAAGATTATTTGTTACGATTATTTCCCTCCCAAACTAGAATTCTCCTTCTTATAACAAAAAATAATAATCCTTGTGTCTGATGCAGCACCTTTCGCGTCAGCAGAACATCTCAATGCACTTCACCAATTCATAGCATTTACATAAAGTGGAGGGACAAGGTATTTTGTAGGCAAACTCAACAGCAATGTAGCACAAACAGCCTTGAGCTAAGTGACCAATTTTATCTGGTTGATTGCTGGTCAGGGCATCGGGAGAGAAATTCCCTTCTTGTGCCATGGGATCTCTTAACGTTCACCCGAACAGAGCGCAGCCCTGGTTAAACATTTCATCCCAAGTTTAAAGTCCCAAAGTGGGTCTTGAACCCAACAATCATCTGACCAAGGGGTGAGAGAGCGTTACCAACTGCGCCAGGCTGATGGTCCTTCAATATTCTTCAAAATTCTGTGCTGGAAGTGCTAAGGTGTAATCAGTTTCCCCCCTTCCCACTCCCCAAACTACCCCGTCAAACGCCCCACAGCCACTCACTGACAAGCATCACACATGAACTGACGATAGTAAGAATCCTTGCATTTGACACAGTGCCTTAACACGTCTCAAAAGTGCTTCATAGAATGTATTCTAAAGTGATCGATTGTGCATTTCGTGGGCAAAACGTGGCCGTCAATTGTGCACAGCAGTGTCCCACAAGCAGTCCTGGACTCAGTGACCAAATTACCCGCCAATTGACTAACAACCAGGTTCTTACTTACTGATAAGGTAAACAGTAGAGAAACAAAACTTGCCAAAGGTTTTACCCCACCCGGGAATCGGACCCAGGTCCTCTCGCTTGCGAGGCGAGCGCTCTAACCAATACCCTACACGATTCCATGACTTGACACATGATTACAGGGCACGTGAATTGATTACTGAAAGATATATTCCCCTTTCCCGTCGCACACCACAACACCAACAGCTTGCAAAGGAGCTCGAGGCCGAGGCGAGTAGGAAGAGTTAAACGAGAAACGAGTACTGAAACCACACATGGGAAGGAAGACAGAAAAAGGACACTTAAACGAGACATACCGAGACAAAACAAAACAACTTCCCCAACGCACAAACTTCACGCCAGTCTCCCTGCCTCAATCCCCTCCACGCGGACATACACAACCACACCGCCAAAAACACACACGCCTCACCCTCATCCTCCACGCGGACACGCGCAAACATCCCTACTCCCCTGACTCCACACGCACACACTCGGCCCTCACCCACACACGCATCCCCGTACGCATCCCCCCCCCCCCCCGCCCCCCCACTCCACTCATTCAAAGATTATTATTATTCCTCCACGCAGACACACACATGCACACATCATCACCCCTCCCCCACATACACGCAAACCTCCTCATCCCTCCCCCCCACCCCCACCCCCCCACACATATACCTCCGCACCCTCACGCACATCCCCTCACGCAGTGTGCGCAATTGCCTGCCGGGGTTTTGCCCACAAAATATGCAGTCACTACACTTCACGGTATATTCGGCGAAGCCCTTTGAGACGTCTCAACGACCCAATAAGGCGCTATATCAAATGCAAGGCTTATTATTATTCCTTCACACACACACACACACACACACCAAATACACACATCCCTGACCCACGGCTCGCCTTAGTTCCGCACAATACATACACACACACACACGCACACATACATACATACATACATGTGCACGCGCACACACCCCTATCGCACTCTTCAAGAACAAACTACTTGTATTTATATCGCACCCTTCACACGGGGCAGCGTCTCGGAGCACGTAAACCCCCCCCCCCCCACAAACCCCCAGCCCGCCCCACACCCCCAAACACGCACACGCACACACACACACACACACACGCTTCATCCCCTTTGCACACAAAGCACCCTCGCAGACCCCACCCACCCACCCACACATACATACATACCTCAACCCCCCACCCCCCACACATACCCATGACCCACCCCAACCCCCACCCCAACCCCCACCCACTTTGCATCAACCCCCAACTCTTTCCCCCCCAAACCCCTGAGCAAATTCCTGCAAACCTCCAGCAAGATTTACCACAAACTCCATCCACTGCACAACCCCCACACCCTCCCCTCCCCACACCCCCCATCCCCCCCACCCCATCCCCCCCACACCCTCCCCCCCCACACCCTCCCATCCCCTCCCCCCCACACCCCCCATCCCCCTCCCCCCCACACCCTCCCCCCCCACACCCCCATCCCCCCCCCACACCCCCCATCCCCCCCACACCCTCCCCTCCCCACACCCCCATCCCCTCCCCCCACACCCCCCATCCCCCCCCCCCCCCACACCCCCCCTCCCCACACCCCCCATCCCCCCACCCCCCCCACACCCTCCCCTCCCCCACACCCCCATCCCCTCCCCCCCACACCCCCATCCCCCCCACACCCTCCCCCCCACACCCCCCCATCCCCTCCCCCCCACACCCCCCATCCCCCCATCCCCCCCACACCCTCCCCTCCCCACACACCCCCAATCCCCCCTCCCCCATCCCCCCCACACACCCCCTCCCCCTAATCCCCCCCACCCCCCCACCCCCCCTCCCCACACCCCCATCCCCCCCACACACCCCCATCCCCTCCCCCCATCCCCCCCCCCCCCCAGACAAAACACCACGAGAGAAAGACTTCCGAACGAATGCGAAAACCCCGCAAACTTGCACTCACCGTTTGGGGGCTGTGAGAGACTGGAGATCGAAGTCTGACCCATCCTCACACCCGGGGAGAGTGGGGGGGGAGAGGGGGGAGAGGGAGGGAGGGAGGGAGGGAGAGAGAGGGAGAGAGAGAGAGTGAGGGAGGGAGGGAGAGAGAGAGAGAGTGAGGGAAGAGAGTGAGTGAGAAAGGGAGGAAGGGGGAGAGAGAGAAAGTGAGAGAGAGAGAGAGAGAGAGAGAGGGGGGGAAGGGGGTGGGGTGGGGGGTGGGGGGGTGGGGAGAGGCTTTTATATTGTACTTGAAAATCCACCAGAGAAAGTCTGTGAGGGACAAAGTCTCTCCCAGAGACTCCGCACCGACATCTCAGCGCCTTTCTCTCTCTCTTTCTCTCTCTCTCTCTTTCTCTCTCTCTCTCTCCCTCTCCCCCTCTGTGTCTGTGTCTGTGTCTAAGTCGCTTCCTGAGGGTCTGAGCTACCCTCAGGGTGTATGTGCCATCCTCTGGGTGGAGTCCTGTAGCCCAGTGGTCAGAGCGAGAGACCTGAGTCCAATTCCCGGCGCGGGCCGGACCTCGGTCAAGTTTCCTTACTCCACGCGCCTAACGATAACCCCTTCCCCCCCCCACCACCCCTCCCCCCCCAAAAAAAAGACGCCCCCCCCAAACGATAATACATCGGTCGTTTTCAATCCACGGCTGTTTGCGGGACTGCGCCGTCGGCGGCCGCGCTCGCCCGCGGGCGCACAGCCCGACCCGCTTGACGGCGCGTTTCCGTCGAGCGCTCTGGGACGTCCTGTCGGGGTGAAAGGCGCTGTGTAGCGAGTGCCGGGGGGTTATTCAAACCACCTTTCCTCTCTGTGTCTCGCCGTCTTCCGAGGGAGAGGGAGAGGGGGGCGCGGGGCGGGCGGGGGGTCTGACTACTTCCCTTTGGGTTTGGCTCGTTCCCCCGCACCGTGCATTGCCTCCCTGGACCTGACCGGGACAGCAGTCAGAGCAACAAAAAAAAACCCCTCTCTCTCTCTCTCTCACTCACTCACTCACTCAGTTGAAATGCTTGTCATTCCTGTATGCAGATTAATTTGAGGGTCAGAGGTTGTAGGCAGACACTTTGCTTAATATCTTTCCTCTTCCCCCACCCCTCTCGCTCTCTCTGCCTCTCTGTCAGATTCCCCCCCCACACCCACACCCCACCCTCCTCCTCGCTGTTCGCCGTTGAGCTGCGCAAGCGGGACTCCAACTCACTCAAACGACAGCACTTTTGGAAAGTTTCTCGTTTGCGAAAGAGTTTGCGCTCTCCTCCTTTCCTCCTTTCCTCCTCCTCCTCCTCCCCCTCTCTCCAATCCATTCCATTCCCTCCCCCAAGCTCTTGCCATCGCACATGCAACACTGCAACACAAAGGCTGCTTATTTAAGTTATTTTAAGCTTAAATGCTGCTTTTATCTTCCTGTGCTTTTATGTCAGAGGCTGTTCACTTTGGCGGAATCTTGCTAAATTCTCTGTAGCAGAAAAGAAAGAGACTTTGAGCCAACCGGACCTTTCTCAGAGAGGGGAGTCATTGTTTATTCACTTTTTTAAAAAGATTATAGGTTTCATTTTAACTTTTAATTGATATAATTACAATACGGGGTTACAGATGGTATTCATACTCCACACAACCTCCTAATCCCCTCTCCCACACCCCTCCAATTCCCGTCTACCTCACCTACGCATCACGCTTCCTCTTCAATACGTTGACACACAAAAAAATTAACTTCTGCATTTGGTATAGCACATTGCACACCGGAAGGACATCTGCTATGGTGGAGATGGGCAGAGGAGATAGTCAGTAATACAGTGGTTGTAAAGTAGCCATTACTGAACCCCATAGTGTGAAGGAGTTAGATTAACACAGAGTCCTGTAGTGTAGTGGTTAGAGCACTTGCCTCACAAGCGAGAGGACCGGGATTTGATTCTCGGGCCGGGCAAAACCTCAGGCAACAACGACAGCAACAACTTGCATTTATATAGTGCCTTCACGTGGGGTAGCGTCCCGGAGTAAGGTCAGTTTCATTACTCCACATGTCCCTGTTTACCTAGCAGTAAGTAGGAACCAGTTATCAGTCGATTAATGGATCAATTTCCGGTGGTAATAATCCCTTCAAAAAAATAATAATTTGATCACTCAATCCACGACTGTTTGTGGGACCCTTCTGTGTGTAAATGTCCGTCGCGTTTCGCCCACAAAATTCACAATCAGTTCACTTTATACTGTATCCTGTGAAGTGTTTTGAGACGTCTCGACGTGGTGATAAGGCGCTGCATCAAATGCAAGGATTATTATTATTATACTAAGATAAGGAGAGATACAATCAGGAATACAGAGCACTATCGGGGATGAGTTTCTGAGAGTGTGAGTGCGGGAGATGGATGAACATCAGCAGAGATAAAAGAAAAGAACGCTTCGGGGAAGGATAAAGAGGACAAAAGGCACATTGTCTCTTTCCCCCAAAAAGGAAATTACACAAATACATTTTGAAAAGAGATACAACAATGTCACAAGATGGACAGAATGGGACTTGTTTTTGCAAGTTGACTCAGAGTCAGTGTAACAATAACGGTTACATGTGAAACGATATATCCGTTTGGTATTTCCTGCCCTACACTTGTAATCTTTTCCTGAGGAATCTGTACACTAGATGTGCGTACGTACTGGCTTACTGAGGCTCTCTCTCTACATCTCTGCACCACCGCACGGCTCTGTAATAGGTGACGATTCAATCCGCCTCTAACCCCCACTCCCCACCTCCCACGCAGTACATTTCGACAACAAGTAAACACTACAATTCACAGCAATAAGTTTCGCCCACAAAAACACACAGTCAATCCACTTTGCAGTACATTATGGGAAGCACTTTGAGACTGTCCCAACGACGTGATAAGGCGCTACATCAAATGCAAGGATTATTATTATGATTATTATTATAACTCCATCCCTCCTTCTCGCTCCCTTCCTTGTCTCCTTCAAGGACTGTCTCAAGACCTTCAGTCTTCAGTCATCTTTGCTCCTCCACCCTCCCTGCCCTCCATTCCTCTCTGATCCCAACCTCCAGCTCAGGTGCAAACCCCTAATGTCCAGTGCCTTGGGACAACCTCACAACGTGAAAGCCGCTGTATACATGCAATGTCTTGTTATTGTATTGATAAAGCACCTTTTCACCTAGGATAACAACCTGGATGGAGCACTTTATAAAGACAGGGTGGAGAAGGGGAAAGTGGGCAAAAGTGTAGAGGGGAAGGGGGGGATAAAAAGGAGAGATGGGAGGAGACCATAGACATGGTCAGAAAGATTGGTCTTTTAAGTTTTAGGTTCAAGTTCTGTGTTGGGGCCTTTGACCTTATGATCTAAGTTGGGGGTGTTGCACTGTTGAAGGTGCCGTCCTTCAGATGAGACATTTAACTGAGGTCCGTCTGCCTTTTCAGGTGGATGTTAAAGATCCAACGGCACAATTCGAAAAGAGAAGGGAGTTTTTCTCTCTCCCTATATTCTGGCCAACAATCCCTCAAATAAAATTGGTCACTCAATCCACGGCAGTTTGTGGGACACTGCTGTGCACAAACTGGCTGCCACGTTTCACCCACAAACAGTCAAACCACTTACAGTGTATCCTGTGAAGTGCTTTGAGACATCTCCACGACATGAAAGATGCACTCAAAATATACAGTCAATTCACTTTACAGTATATTCTGTGAAGCACTTTGAGACGTCTCAAAGATGTGATAAAGTGCTATATCAAATGCAATGATTATTATTATTCCAGATAAAATCTTTGTCTCATCCGTTTGCTCAGGCGGACATTAAAGATCCCGTAGCACTCTCTGAAAGGAGAAGGAGTTTCTCTTTCCCAATGTCCTGGCCAACAATCCCCCCAAATAAAAGTGATCATTCACTGTTGGGACTTTACTGTGTGGAAACTGGCTGTTGCGTAGGCTTAAAATACACAGTCACTACACATCACAGTGATTATTATGAAGCACTTTGAGACGTTTTGACGTGAAAAGGCATTCATCAAATGAAGGAAAATGGAACAACCTGTAGAACCACGGTGTACAGAAATAAACTGGTGATGAAGCTACATCCCATCCGTACATGCTTTTCACCCACAAAAAATATAATCATTTCAATTTATAGCATATTCTGTGAAGTGCTTTAGAATGACGGATAAAGCACTACATTAAATGCAAGAACTATTTATTATTATTTATTATAGAGAACATGCCCCAGAGTGAGTTACAGGTTGGAATCTTGATCGAGTGGTTCAGGGGTTTATGTAACAACAACTTGCATTTATAAAGCGCCCCTCACACAGGGTAGTGTCCCAGAATACTTGACAGTGGCGGAGCACTAGGCCGAATAACATACAGAATAACACACCCCACAAGCGAGTTACAGGCTGGAATCTAATGGATTAGATCACTTCAATCACTCCTGGGGTGTGTTATTCTACATACAAACCTCTGAACGTAGAATAACACACCCCAGGAGTGATTGAAGGGCTGGAATGTAAATGCAGCAGTTTGGTTTGTTTCTACAGTATATAGAATAATTGGTAGGCAAGTTTCGTTACTGCGCACACCTCTGTTTACTTAGTAGTAAGTAGGTTGTTAGTCGTTCGGAGGATCACTTTCCAGGAGTATTTATGTATTAAGAGATCTTTAATAAGTTTAAAAATTCAATAACCAACATAGATGTGTTATTTTAATGATGCAAGTCACAAAATAATCTTTATAGTTATTAGACAATATCACAATGCTGTCTCTACATAGCAACACGATATTATCAGTTGAGATGAAATGACCAGCACTGGTACATTCCTCCCCACATCATAAATAGGTCACTGCTGTTTTTGTTGGTTAGGACGGACTTTCCAGTCAATATGGACATTGCTGTATACACACAGACTTTGTTGAATCAGGTAATCAGGATACATCCCTCTGGGGAAATACTGCACATTTCATTCCAGCTCCGGCAATTTCCATGTGTAGGTGGCAACGCTGTAACTCTCTGTCTGGTTTAGATGCTCATAAATAGAGTGCTGGGTTTCCACATGAACTGGAGGAAACATGAT